CCTCTTTTTAATTACCAACCTTCTGAAAGATGCCACCGAATGCTAGACAGCTGAGATTCATGATCTAGGATAGATTCTTTAGGTTTGTCGTCAATAACTGCAAAGAAAAAAAACTTAACTTTTAAAGCCTGCAATTATACTAAATTTGCAAAAAACAGCTTTCAAATGTTACATACAAAAATAAAAAGAATGGAGTCGACAGAGGTTTGATGAGCGTACCAACCACTGTGATATCTGCCCCATACTTCTTAGCCAAAGAAGCTGTCGTTGCTGCAGCCTAAAAAATGAAAAGAAAGTTATCACTCTAATCTGATGGGAGTTGCAGTAGAAAGGATAGTGTAATATCATAGATATTAAAGTGTAATAGTTACAATTTTTCTTTTTGAAAGAATTTGTCCGAAGGGAAGAAATTTATAATACCCACAACAACTTATTTACTCGCAAAAATTTTACAACTACATTTATAAACATCAATAGCTGCCTAAATTGGACCTCATGGACTTAAAAGAGATATTTCTCACAGACAAACATTCGCCCATCTACCTTTTTGGAATGAGTTCTGTGAGGATGAAAGCTTGGAGCAACAATGTTTTCGGCGTAATTCTTTCCTCACGCGTGAAAAATTTCTATCACCTCTAAATTTTAATTTTTAATAAAAAATATTTCTGAAGTATATATTCGAGAAAATTAATTTACACAAGCCTAGCACAGAGCCTAATATCAAAAGCCATCTCTTCAAGATGTATGTCTATATTAAGACTCAACTTGGGGTGACCAATGTTTCCTCTAAAGCTATTGTACAAATATTGGGGAAAAATAGATTTTTTTTTTAAAGAAAGCTATTTCACAGTATAAATTGTTTTAAAAAACAACATAAAAAAGCATAGCAAAATAAAATTGAGGTTGCTATATGGAAAGCAGAACAATGAGAAAGCTGCCAAAAATAGACCCTAAATCACAGAGACATACCCTACACAAAAAGAAAGTAGAATACAAACAAACATGTGACTTTTAACGAGTAAAGCATAAATGACCTGTTTTGCAATGTAAGAATCAATCTTGATGACATCCTAAATTGGTGCATCTTATAGTTTAGGCTTGCTTTTGTAATATTGTGTAGCGTCGTATAAATTTAAATTGTTGCAACTCTCACGGAACTCTCATAGGCATGGATAGGTTAATCATCAAGTTCATTATCCATAATTCTAAAATTGTGGAGGTGAACACATCATGATAGAGCTTTTCATTGCAAATTTTCATATAGAAAAAGTTACAGTCAACAAATATTTGGATAGTAATGCAAAAAATATTTTTTGTCTTAAGCCTTTGAATAATTGATATAGTGAAAGAATCCATGGCCCATTGGTTAAAGGAGAAGGTTGCTTCTTCATGATCATAGGTCAAAGGCATATACTTCATGATTTATCACTCACCATAAAAAAATAAAAAAAACCCATGATTTATCACTCACCATAAAAAAATAAAAAAATTAAAAAAATTAAAAAAAGCAGATGCCTAAAAATTTGGAAATCAACAGGGCAATCATCTAAAATATGTTCAAATTGATGAAATTAGAAATAAAATTCAAGTAGCAGGATGCCGTGTTACTCATGGTAAAGAAGAAACTCAAAGCTTAACAATAAAACAAGCAACTGCTAAGAATTTAATTCGGAAAAAAAAAAAAAATAACGGCAGGGTTCAAAATTATAAAATAAGAAAATAAATAGATTGCAACTATTTCATGTATAATTACCACACTTCTCTCTTAATGTAAGGTAGGATGCACGAGAAAGAACCTGTCTACTTCCCTCCGAAAGATAAGGATTCCGATCTGTAATCGGAAGAAGAACATGCTTGATGTTTGCAAAAGCATCAGCAGCTAAACTAGCACCAGATTCTTGTTGTTCAGCCCTTACTGAAAATTTAGTAGAGAATTGGTTAAAAAATATATCAAAATAAGTAATTAAAACAAATAATTTAGATACTCAGAAGAACATAAGAAAAAAAAAACAAACAAACAGCAGAAACAGATATGATAGAAGTTCGATGTATCATAACAGCCTTAGTGTAGCGACCACAATTCTAGAATGGACGCAACAAAGTCATAAATTAAACACTTACGGAGCAATTTAGCCTTATATATCTATTATAGTGCCAGGAAGCAAACCACCAGAAGATCACCAGAGTAAAAGAAAATTGGCATAACCTCGATATGAATACAAAGTCGCTCTATAACATAATCGAGAGGTGTTTACATACATACCACACAATTCTTATGCATTTACTTATCAAACACCTAAATATTCACATTGACATGTACCATTTAAATCTTTAATAACACATTAAAAATATCACCATGACAATCTTTTTAAAAGCAAAATACATCTTTTATGCATAAGTTTGACAGCGAGGTGTCATGATTTTCAATATGAAGCTTTAGTTGTTAGATATGTAAATATCAATATTTTTAAAAGCCCGCTTCACGTGCAAAGCAAACGGCTTTGCTTTGCTGAAGCACGCTTTAAAGTGTTGAAGCAAAGCGGTCAGTTTGATTCACAGTTTAGCTGGAGGGAATAAATGACTAGTAAATTAATTTAACTTGTTTTATGAAACTTGAAACTTTATTAGTGTATATTTGATTTTAAATTTAAATTTTGTTTTAAGTCATAAGATTTTCTTTGCAATTTTAAAGTTTTTAATTATTACAACTATTAAAAACTGTTTGAATTTTTAATTTGCAGATTCACTATCAATGTTTGCCTTCAAGTTAGATATTGCATCACATTGCTTCCTATTTTATATCAACTTTTAAGTCATAGTTTATATTTTAAAACTATTAATTAAGGTATTTATACATTATTAATTTTATATAACCTATTACATTTTAGTTAATAAAAGCTCTACTTCGTTTTTAGCTTCGCGCTTTGAAGCAAAAATAAAGTCTTGCACATTGCATTACACTTTGTGTTTTGATAATACCGGTAAATATATAAGAATTACATGGTATGTATGCAAATTTCCCAATAATCAATGGACAGAATGTACAGGGGAATAAGATCTCTTCCTCAAATATTTCTTTGACAAGAGAATTAGTTTAGTAGTTGCTTGATGAGACACTAGGCCTCAAACGGAGCTTTCTAGTAGCTCCTCACTCTTCTCCCCTGAACCACAGCTCAACAGAAAAAATAATAATAATAATAAATATATATATATATATATATATCTGTGTGTGTGTGTGTGCATGCATCACAAAACAAAGGGAAGGAAGAAAAGCAGGACAAGTTTTCATGTACTTGCAAAAATTCAGAAAAATTCAATTAAAGCAGTTAGAGCAATACGAAAAAAATAACTGTTACAACTGCTGACCTTAGTATAATAAACAACTGATACAAACATTAGGAGTGTTTAACAAGCAAATACAACAACAAACGGGATTTATTAGCTGCAAACTAGTTCTGAGAACCAACAGACGCA